AAAAAGAAAAAAAAGAAAAGAAAATTAAAACCTTGGAATGTGAAGAAATCTACAAAGTAAACAGCAATAGAGAAGAAAAATATTTTTGCAAATTTTAATTTTGTTGATGAGATTTATTCCAACAATTGGGATCAAGATCAATGGTTAACAGAGATTGGTGCTTAAACTTGATTCAGCGAGCAGGGTTCTATTTCTGTGCTTGTCTAGTGCGTTCACTTTCGCACTAATACCCTTGGGAAAAGTATGAATCCGTCTAATCTTTCTGCTCTCCCATCACCACCAGACGTGAATTAAGTCATAGGATAGACTGGACTCTTTTGCCTTGGATGGCTACCTTTCTAAGGAGGAGGAAAACTGAAATTGATATTGGAAAGAAGGCAGTTGAAAGCCACTTCTTTCTCATTAAATTATAACTCCTCGCAGATAATTAAGAAAAGTAATGTGTGGAGAGGTATTAATGCCCATCTTCTCAAGAAACATAATATTAAAAATTTTACATGGGTCGCTAAAAATGCCGGTGGCCGATATGACTGAGAATCAACCTACTTGGTAAAATAGTTACTATTTTCTGTTTATTATTTCATGTAAATCAAAAACAATATTATTTACATTAGTACTAATATCTTCATCTTTTTTTATTACTATAATGTTTCTGCCTTCTGGTATCTGTCGATAGGGTAAGCTTCAGCGAATTTTGATCTGGATTCAAATTTTTTTATTTTCTCTTAAATCTACAAGAGTCGTTCTGCTGTATTGTCTAGTGGAATAAAACGTTGTCTGGTGGATTCGGTGGCATCTTAATTCTGATCTGAGTTGTAAAGACAAAAAAAAAACGACTATGCCAAGACATCAAAAGGAGAAAATGTATCTCCATAGATTAAATAAATGTTTCAGTTCGAAATTCCCTAATTTGATTTTTTTAGATGATTGAAAATAAATCTTGTGTACAGTTCCTAGTGTATGATTGTTCCTACCCTATCGTATCTGTGTTTATATTTCTCTTCAGCCAGATTCCTGCATTCACTTATACGTAAAACTAATCATTTCATCATTTACTACATGGAAGCAGAACTTACTGTTTCAGAGGGTTTTATTTTATACTGACAAGCCACAGCAAAGACAATAAACTAATAATGACTGTCCAAAAACTAAGAACAAAAATATATAGATATTGTATAGGAATAAAGTGTTACTGCCGACACTTGAGTTTGAACATAGATCGCCAGTGAGCAAACACAGGCGATCCCATTATTGAATTAAGAACCATAGAGGAAACTCATATATGGGAGGTAGCCTCTGACTAATTGATCTCCTTTCCTAATCTATCCTCTATTACTATACGGAGCGCTATTCTCTACTCTATTCACTATACTATTTCTCTATTCGAATTCCTATTCGGTGGTTACTATTCGAGCGAGTATTATCGAGCAAGTACTATTAGTGCGAGTGATATTCGAAGGCGTCTGACACCAGTATTGTTCAACGGCGTTACTATAGTTGTATCTGCGATTACAAAGTCTCTACTACAACGAGCATTACGAAAGTGACAACGAGTATTCGTTGACATTAAAAAAGTGTCAAACGTGTGTTTGTTGACATCACAAAAATAGACATGGCATTGAACAATATACAATATACAGTATATTTAAATTATAAGATATATTCCGAAAGGGTTCATTTCGACATTCCAACCATCTGAAGAAGGCCGGAGCGTACAACGGCCGAAACGTTGTAATAAATATGGCAACAAAGATGAGGACAATAGTCCGAATAATCGAAATAGTGTTATTCTGAAAGATATACAATTGGAAAGAGCCAGAAGCAAGCGGACCCTTCGAATGTTGATACATGATCGTTAACTGGTACATACATCTATGGACGGGAAATAAAAGGCTGGATGATTTGCTCTATATCGATAAAATGATTATGAAGGAAATCAAATGAAGACAAACAAAAACGTAATTGAGTGGATTGATTACAAGAAAATGTGCGACATGATTCCTCATATTTGAATCTTAAAGTCTTTAGTTATTAAAGATTAACAAGACATTGGCAATTCAGATTTAGCACAAAGCTAACTGCATGGTTTATTGTAAAGTAAACTTAGTCACAAATGGAAAATGAAATATGAAGAGGATTTTTAAGGTGAAATCCGTTTCCGATTAGTTGGCGTCGCCATGAGAAAACAGAATCTAAAATTAAAATTCTGCGAAGAATATTAATTGCCCCAATACAAGTGATATGGATGGCGTTAAAATCGTGTTAAATGAACAAAATGTTGACTGAAAGAGACAAGTAGTGATGGCATCGGAATATAGCCTATTGTCCGGTTCACATTCCTTCTCGTTCTTTTGAATAAGAGTAGAGGCTTATCCCTAGATTCTGTCCCCACTCCCACCACATCCATAAAAATGGAAGAATCCAAGGGACTGGTTTTCTCGCATACAGAAGTTTACGGTGTCCATTCCACATTTTGCCGCCTCGAATTAACTAAAAGTAAATCTACTACATTATGTTACATCTTAAAAAAAAAAAAGTCAAATTAATTACTAAAGCTTAACAGTTATAGTGCCACAAAATCGTTTCATGACACGAAATTGAAATATCACGTTAAGTATTCATATATATATATATATATATATATATATATATATATGTGTGTGTGTGTGTGTGTGTGTGTGTGTGTGTGTGTGTGTGTGTGTTTGACAGAGAGTCTGGGAAACACACACACAAACGTATATTTTTTTTAGTCAAATTGGAGTAGATTTGAATAGCGAAATTAAATCAGAGCATTTTGTTTACTGATGGGGAAATCTGATCTAGGGCAGAAGTTGTACCCATTGAATCTGGGTCATCAAAGAACAATGGAAATGGTCGAAATAATTTTTATCGATTAAAAATTGAAAGAGAGCTGAGTAAGCTAGAAGGAACTTTGGAATTCACATGAGTAAGCTAGAAGGAACTTTGGAATTCACATGATTTTCGTTGAAGCAGCCAGAACCCCGTGGAAATCGTGGGTGAAGAAATCTTTATCCCTCCATCGCAAGAGTCATATATCGTTCTGAGACGATTTAACAACAAGATAATCACATAAACTCTCTCTCTGTCTAGAATCCAGTGTATGAGTTTTTACGTTAAATACTTTTCTTTTCTGTAACCCGTTTCTCTTCTCTACTATTCTTTTCTGCTATATAAAAGACATTAATAATCCAACTATTGAATCATGAATCGTTGTTGTCCAGCTTCCTGCAGATATTAATTTTTCTTTTTTTTTTTTTTTTTTTGCTGCATTCTAAATTTCTTAGCGCAGACTCCCCACCGTGTTTACATCTTCAGTCGACCGTGAATGGACGGGTATCACTTCTGCTTTCTGGATCAAACAAATCACAACGTGGGCAGGAAGCAGGATTAAACCAGCGGACCGGGCGAATAATCTACGGATGCTCAGGGGACCTATGGCCACTCCCTTAAGTTCAATTAGGACCGAGTAGACACCTGGGGCGAAAGAGTTATATATATATATATATATATATATATATATATATATATATATATATTAGAATATTAAAACAACATGTAAAAATCGCTACACAATTGCAGTTGTATTTCGACACATACCAATGCGTCTCCTAAATTACTGGCGGGTGAACAATTAACCCGAGAACACTAATCATGGGTATATAGTACCCAGCGCAAATGACGTTATTGAGCGTGTGTATGGATCCCGCGCTCTGAGGGGTCCCAGCTGCTTAGTAGCTTCAGTTGCCCACTTAACAGTGTACGGGAAGGTTGCGCCGTCTCGATCTCTCTCCTCCCCAGTGCTGTAGGCCTGCGTTTGGGTAAGGTATACCCATGGTTGGTGATACGCGGTGTTGTGAACGGCGGTAATAGCCTATCCAGGATAGTGTTTACGTACTATTTTAGTGATCAACGGTGGGATGAAAAACAGGATTATGAGGCTGTGTAAATAGTGATTGTGTGTTACTTACAAATATATTTTTTATCCTGATTGGGATTTGGTTTCCGGTTCCTTCTAAAGTATTCTTATTCTGTTTCACTCCCACTACCCCCTTGCGTGGTAGTGGTATTATCACCTTATTTGGGGTGAAGTGATTATTAAAAAAAAGTCCGGCAGAGATAAATCCGGACTCCTAATAGTAGATTATACATGGCTGCAGATGGAAGAAATATGTGACGAGAGTTAAATGACAGGTGACAACATAGATTTGTATTTTTTACTGCTTCACCCTTTGGGAATTATGTAAATCCGAAGTATATTTCGGGTTGTAAGATCTAGAAATACATCGGGATGATGCCCCTCAAGATATCAGCAGTTATGTAATCCTGAAAAAATTCAGGAATTACAGTCATCAAAACCCTTCATCCAATTAATCCAGCTGGTGTTGATGAAATCCCAGCCTATGGACCCAGGTAACGAGATATCCTAACACGACTTCATGAACTAATATCGATATTGATATTTATTGTAGAGATGTTACATTAAGTATGACACAAGGCTGACATTGAGGCAGGATGATCATCTGTTTTACTTTTAACTTAGCATGTTTCAATCACTGACATCCTCAATCCGATAATGTTTCATTCATTATAACACAAAATTCTTACATACTATTCTCACTGCAGTCACCAAAATACCACAACTTCTCCATGAAGTCCTGACTTGCCTCCATATATACATTTTTTGTCTGAGATATCCATTTCATTGAATATATCTATTGTATTTACAGAGTTTATATATATATATATATATATATATTATTCGAAAATTATAACATAAATATGTTATAAAATCACTACAAAAATAGCCATTTTGTTTCAACACTTCTGGTGTTTTATCAAGTGATGGTGTTTGCTATACTCTGTATTGAGCACTCTTTTAAGAATAGTATTTTTTGGTTATTGGAATTTATTCCGCATACACCAATCCTATACTTGTGTGTGTGTGTGTGTGTGTGTGTATAAGTAAATTCCCCCCACGGCCCTAAATTTGGATCTTTTATATTCATTCACCCGAAAATAAAAAGAATTTATATTTACTAAAATTCACACGAAAATTCAGTAATGTCCTTTAAAATTTGTTCAAAAATGCATTCATTGGTTATGTTCTGCCTTAAGTCTCCACAGAAATTCACACAAATAAATGTCTATCATGCTGCGCTGAATTCCAAATATGGACTTATTCTTCATTTTGGCGTTCCGTCAGGTACTTTCGACTGTTTGCGTGTGAGATGATGTTTCTGGGTCAACATAATTCATATTTCATACTGCGATTTACAGTCAGATGAATATAATTTGGATCATCCTTCAAAAGATGTATATCCTTTCCAACAATCCGACATAATTGTAGTCTTATGTAAAATACAGCTTCGGATTGTGTTCAGTAATGTGGAGGCTCTTCTATACTCCAGCAACTTCATGTCAAGATAAACTTGGATTTATATAATTTCTTGGGGTGAATTAATATTTGAGATAAGTAACTTTACATTATTTGGGATGAATTAATAGAAATGAATTAATATCCCTAAAATGTAGCAGAAATATCAATACATCAGATGAAAATAATGCCGGACTGAATAAATATAATGCCATTCCTACTACCAACCACTCAGTCAAACAAAGTCAATAACAAGTTCGAGACACAAACACGAAATACAAAAAAAAAAACAAAAAAAAATCTAACACTTAACGGGGAGGAGGGGATTAAAATAGAGAGGGGATTAAAATAGAGAGGGGATAAAAATAATAGGAGTCCGATGAGTATACACCCCCTAGTTATCTGTCTATATTTCTGATGAGGTATTAAAATTATTTACACTATTTACATTGTTCGGACTGTTGTTCTCATCTTCGTTACAATATTCACGATGTTTCAGCTGTTATACACTCCGACGTTATTCAGTTAATTAGAATTTTGAACTGAACTCTTTATTTCGTCCAGTGGGGTATATTGTTCTAATTCCACATGTCATGCCTCTTCCAGATGTATCAGTAACAATCTACTCCGGTGGACGAAATAAAGTCTCAGTTCGAAATTTCAATCACCTGACGATGACCGGAGCGTACAACGGCCGAAACGTCGTGCATATAGTAATAAATATGAGGACAACAGTCCGAACATTATTAATAATGGAAATACCTTAGATAAGTTAAGAAAAAACTTGCTAGACGTTTTTCATAATGTCTCGACTAATGTACAACTAGAAATACTAACACCAATTTTGACTTGGTTACGATACACACTGGCGGGTTCGAAAGCGTTATAGCGCCTAATGAATTTTTACAATTTACTATTTTTACAAGAACAGTTTTCCTTTTTCTTTTCTTTTTTTTAATCATAATAATTTATAAATTTTTAATCTTGTAAAATTCTCTATTAATTTGTACCGGTTAGCCGATTGGTATTAAGCAACAGCTATATTTATGAATCATAAATGGAAAAGCTTGATACAATTCATCGACAATCAATACAGTGTAACCCGGATATAAGAGAAACCCGGATATAAGAGAGATTTTCTCTGGTCCCAAATTAGAGCCTGTGTTAATGTAAATAAAATAGACCAAACCCGGATATAAGAGAAACCCGGATATAAGAGACTTCTTCTCCGGTCCCGACAACTCTCTTATATCCGGGTTATACTGTATTAAAAAAAAAAGCCAAAGTGTTTAAAACAAAATTAGTCTGAACAAAAATTAGTTAAACAAAGAAATGGAACTTAACAGAATTCAGGGTTTCAAAACGGTCATCTTGGTAAATTCCAGAAAGTACAAAGCAAAAACTTGGTACTTATTCCAATAACCAAATGTCGAATAAGGGCAATTTAGTAACTACGATCGAAATTTACAATATGGCCGACGTTGAAATTTTCTAAAATATACAGCCGGCAAATCCTCCAATCAAATGCATTTCTGTCCCCCTCCCACCACATCAATAGGAATGGAAGAATCCAAGGGACTGGTTTTCTCGCATACAGAAATTTACGGTGCCCATTCCACATTTTGCCGCTTTGAATTAACTAAAAGTAAATCTACTACTTTATGTTACAATACATCTTTAAAAAAAATGTCAAATTAATTTCTGAAGCTTAACAGTAATAGTGTCACAAAATCGTTTCAGGACACGAAATTGAAATATCACGTTAAATATAAATATATATATATATATATATATATATATATATATATATATATATATATATATATATATTTGGTTGGATAGATGTGAGTTTGTGACCCTGGGTTTCACGCTTTAGCGATCGTCAGACAAGCTGATTATATTTTTTAAAAATTTGGGTTTATGTAGATTGCGTGTATTGGTGTTATTGTGGAAGTGGTGGGGGAAATGTCATCGTACTGACGCAAACATCAATGTATGTTCATACGCCTAATGGAGTACGCAGACACATATACATACTTGGTCGTCCGTCGGGATTCATACATATATAAACATATGTGGACAGTTTCGGATATGACATATGTATGTATACGGGTGGTGTTGTGTCTATACATACGCATTTGTATGTTGAAATTCAAAGAATTGGGATTGTAACGAAAATTTCGTGAATGTCTCGTGGATGTATACATGTCATATTTTATTTTTCCGCTGAATATATCTTATGTGTATACGTGTGGTGGGGTTTAAAAATATAAAATAACCAATAAGAATTACAAATTTCTACCTGTTACATATACACGGTCATCAAAATCAAACAAATAACCACCTTTAAATATAACAAATAAACCCTCTTTTTTTTCAAAAATTTAAAAATAAATATAAATAATAAATATTGTTACCTATCATAATTTTATACAAACCCCACCACACGTATACACATAAGATATATTCATCGGAAAAAATAAAATATGACATATATATATATATATATATATATATATATATATATATATATATATATATATATTAAAACAACGTAAAAAAATCGTTACAATTGCAGTTGTATTTCGACATATCAATGCGGCTCCTCAGGCGATTGTAAATTACTGGCGAGTGAACAATTTGGTTTCAAAAGAAAAATACACCATCTTTTTTTCGAAAAAAAAAAAAGGTTACAATGCATGGGGATTTTACCCTGTTAAACTAATCGAATATGACCTACGTTTAATTCAAAGAAAGCGAAAAAATTAAAACTTTCTTAGAAATGGGTAATGGTCGAGAATTATTTGCTGACTGCAGCCAGACATTTAAATTCAAGATGTATACACTTTGTAACCATCTGTATCAATGTCAGACGGTCAACTTTCAAAAGAAATAAAAGCGGACGGGGTAGAAAGAAAATTTAATCAAATGCAAACTTTATACATATGCTTATTTTATATGTGAATTTCCTACATTTTTTTGTTGTCGATAAATAAGGGACCTCTTTAAGAAACTAATAAATAATTCAAATGTATATAGAATTATTTAGTAAATTAATATGCAACCGTTAAATAAATAAAAAAATTAAAAAATATAAGAAAAAAATGATTTTATATAAGAAAAAATTTTTCTTATATTTTAGTTGAACTGCGTGGCACCTGATATGGTTGATTTTTCTATTTATAAAATTTATTTAGATTTAGTATATAATTCTGCATTAATCTCCTGTTAGTATTATTAACACCTTTTATGGATTTATTGGTGGTTTGTTTCTATTTTTGACATTTTACATTGATTGATTGGTATTATTAACATTTTTTATGGACGATCTTTACTTAACGGTTTCATATTAATTTCCTAACTAATTCCATAGTATAGAATTCAAACGTATAGAATCTATACGTTTGAATTATTTGTTAGTTTCTTAAAGAGGTCCTTTATTTATCAACTACAAAAAAATTGTATGTAGGCAATCCACAAAGCATATAAAAAAGTTTGCATTAGGTTAAATTTTCTTTCTACCCCTCCCCTTTTATTTCTTTGGAAAGTTGACTGTCTGACATTGATACAGATGGTTACAAAGTGTATACATCTTGAATTTAAATGTCTGGCTGCAGTCAGCAAATAATTCTCGACTTTAACCCATTTCTAAGAAACTTTTAATTTTTTCTTCGTCGCTTAGTTTGAATTAAACATAGGTCATATTCGATCGATTCTTAAGACTCCAAGCCTTATATCCTATTTTTTTCGAAAAAAAGATGATGTATTTTTCTTTTGAAACCAAATTAATTTTCACTCTCCAGTAATTTACAATCGCCTGAGGAGACGCATTGGTATGTGTCGGAACACATGTTTTAATATCCTAAAATGATATTAATCTATATGAGCCCGCTTTTAAATTAAATGTAATAACATTGGAATATTCGTTCTCATATTACAGTCTTCCACAGACAAATTGTTTCCATGTATCATAGCTCATCAGTGTGGCAAGACATGCGATTGATTCAAGCAGGGATCGAAACTCAACCAATTCGACATCGGTCAAAGACTCTCACCCTTAGACCATAAGCTCGCTGGATTTATTAATCCGACAAATTTGTATCACGTTAAACATTTTTATTATTAATATTTGAGTAGACGCTTCGTTTACATATTAACCGGTATATTTATGTATTTATTTTCACCTCAGTCAGTCAGTTATGTGCCATGCATGATACACGATCATGCGATCATGTATCTTTCGTGACATGAATGACGAGGCAGATTTGTTTCCGCAGTAGATAGATCAGTTGCCATCCAAGGCTATAAAACCAGGTCTGTCCCGCTATTTACACATAGCTGGGGAGAGAAGAAGAGGATTCATATCTTTCCCAAGGGTATTAGCACATAAATGAATGCAATCGATTCGACTGAAATTCGAACTCGATTCCTCAATCCGAGCCCTATTCATTACCCTGCCTACTCTTATTTTCACCGACCGCACTAAAATTTCGAGACATCTTATTAAAAAAAATGTGCGCTCTTCGGCAAAAATCGAACCAGCATCGTTCAGAGTAAAGAGAGCTACCATTTAAGCCCGGTGTGCCTATGCCGCTTTTTAGAAGAATTCAAATTGGATGATTTCAAGCGAAATTTCTCTTATCAAAGATCTCTCGAGGTTTTTCATATTTGTTCTTCTCCGAACGTAAGCAAAGAGCGATTTTTTTTTAAATAAGATTTCTCGAAATTTCAGGTCAGTAGATGAATGCAAATAAGTATACTTTTAACATATAAACAGATCGTCTACTCAAATATGAGTAACCACTAATAATGTTTAAAGGGATGCACACACATCATATATATGTGTGTACGTGTGTGTGTGGTACTCGAGTGAAAGGAACAGCAACGCGCGCGTAGATGAAAGAAAAAGGTTTATTGTAAAAGAGAAGACACTACTGCAAGACAGGAAATCGGTTATCAGGCTAGTCATTCCCGAAGCAAGGATATCTATCAACCGCCCCACGCGGTCAGACGTGGCACGAGGCTGAATTTAATGTGGGGTATCCGAGCCCGTAGACTCAGCCAAAAATTCCCCGTATAAAACGGGATCGGGTAGCTGTTTCCCGAGACGAGATTCTGCCCTTGACTCGTCTGGGGGTCCTCTCTGTCCGTAGGCAGAGTGTTTGACCAGCATACCTAGAGACGAATCTCCAACTCTAGACTAACTCCAGAAGCACGTCGCCAAGTAGATCCTGTGCTCAATATATATATCTACTGATATAGTCAGTCCACAAAGGAGATAGGGAGTGTGGGACATTCCATTGCAACAATATATATATATATATATATATATATATATATATATATATATAAGTAACTATACTCGTCTCGAAAAAGGTTTTAAAAAAAGAAAGAGCTAGAAACATGAAAGTCTGTCGAAAAAAATCGCACAGATACAGGTTCAAAGCACAAAGAAAAAAACCCTGACACGAGTAAACAACTAACTAAAAAGAGCTCAATACAACCATAGAGCAGACCTAGTCAAACCTAGTGAGCCAGACAAACCTACCCTAACTATATATATATATATATAGGGCACCTCGGCGTGGTGTAATGGTTAGCAAGCTCGTCTCGCTAGATCAATTACGACTGAAAAGTGAGTTCGATCCTCACTAGGTGTCCCATACTTTCGGCCTTGTGCCACATCTAAGCCACGCTTAGAAAATAACTATATATATATATATATATATATAAATATGTGTGTGTGTGTGTGAAAAGGTTGTATTCTTGCAACTATAAGTATAAAAGGAAGCGAAATTGCCGAAAAAAGTGTATTTATAAAACATCTTTGAAAAATAAGGTTCATGTTTATGGCGTCGTCGATAGGACTTTTAAGTCGTTTGAATGAACCAGAATTTGTCTAGGCATGGATCCGATGTTTTGGCAGCACAGGCAAGGTCTAAAAAATTGAAAGACAGCCAGGCAAGAATGGGAGAAAATGAAAGAACTGCCATCTTTCTAGCTTCGGCAGTTTGTGAAGCTATAATGAACATTTCTGTTAAGGCATACTGCAAAGAATTGGATAATTTGACCTTGCTTCGGTCTCTTAAAGAGAAACAAGAGGAATGAATTATGCAAGATCTTCACAGATTAAGAGAAGCTAGAAGACTCTGCGAATTTCGGAAGGTTGGAACTCAAGATTTGACTATTGAGGATGAGATGAAACTGAAGTCTCCATAAAAAAAAAACAAGAGGGAGAGGAGTAAAGAAGTTATAGGAGAACAACCAAAGGCATGAAACCTCTTCAGTTCAGGGAGGTGTAGTGGTTTGGTAAATAGTCTTGTACCTAGTTGCATATGTGGAAGTGGAAGATATATAAAGTGTATAGTAAACTAAGAGACTAGCAAGAAGTTGACTATTGATCACGTGTCATAGAATAACACAACACAATACATCACAACACAACACATCACAACACATCACAACACAACACAACACATCACAACACATCACATCACAACACATCACAACACAACATTATTATAAAGTTGAGTGCCCCCCCCCTACTCGTACACAGCGGGCGTTGTGGAGTTTCAGTCTTGCTTCATGTGTCGAGATTTCCCGGGCTTGGTAAAGTGTCATATACCGTCTGGGTAGGAAATCTGATCTGAATAAAGATAGAATGCCAAATGGCCGACTTTTGTCCCATGCACCAATGCAGGGCCAATACAACTCGGTTTCCAAACCTTACTTCTTACACTTGCTCTCACTTCAAATAGGAGGAGGTATTGACGTTCTTTACCAGAAGCTATCTATATATAAGTTTTATGGTAAAATCCCAGGTCAGTTTGTATTGCCAGAGCCTTGTACTTCAATCGTTCCTCTAGAAATTGCACTTCGCCCGAATCTTTCTATTTCTTCCCCGTAGGCACTTCAATGTCGGCTGCCACTATTTTAGAGTCATTCGAGACCCTGTAAAACATCGCCTCTTTTTTTCCTAGTGATCATAAATCACTAAGTAAGAATAACTACTTTTTGGCCAATAACAATAATTTTTCCAGATAAAAGTCCTACTATTTAACCCATATCGAGGGGTAGAGATGAATTCGTGGTTATCTCAGTGTTATTTGCCCGTAAATGAATGCAATGAACCCGACTGAAATTCTATCTTGTCTTCTCATTCCGAGCCGCTATTCACTAAACCAACCACACATCCACACGTAACAACAGATGGAATCGATTTGCTGGAAAGAAATTGGGACAGTAAGTACAAAAAAGGACCAAATAAACATGTCGAAAAAGACTCAATAAATTAGGAATAAATGTATGTAAATTTAACAATCGAGTATGATAAGAGAAGAAATATACTTCAATTGAAACGGGAGTAATTATATAGAAGAAATACGAATCAATGCATCGACAATTGAAATTAATATTGTTCAGGCACAAGACAGCTGTGACACCAATGAACTATACAGGGTGGGCCTAAAGTAAATATACTCGCGTATCATGCTACTGTTGAAGACCTTATTTTGAAGCTAATTTTTAGGAGGTTGCATCATACATGAGATATAACATTAGCCTATGTACTGCTGGCCCTGGCTACCCCCGTTGACCAAACTATAGATCCATTTACTGTATTCAGATTAGCTTCAAAATTATCTCTTCAAAGGTCACATAATACGCGAGTATATGGTATATATTTCCCATTATTTTTCTTTTACATTTTATTACATTTATTTATTACACTTACATTTGTTTAACACTGTAATCTCATCTTCATTCATCGTTGTCCGAGGACGTCCAGATTTTCCTTCATTAACCAATGAACCCCTTTTTTTTTTTTTTTAAATTTATCTCTTATACGATACATTGTCGGCCATGTTGGTGGAACAGTGAAAAAATCTTCTCCCCTCGCTTTCCTCACCTGCTCGGCCTTTCTAATCATCCAATACTACTTTAGTATTCACTTTCTTTGTTCTCGACTCAAATTATTTGACATTATTAACAATACTCGTAAAAAATTAATAAAAAATTACGTCAGCGGAGCATATAAGTCGACCTTTAAAACCCCAAACTCTCCCTTAAATATTGGGGTATCGTCTTATACTACAATTCTAAAAAAAAAAATTAAATTCGGAATGATGTTTGTCGGTAGGCTTAGTTCGGCTTCGTTGCGATAAATAATAATATACATGAAAAGATTCACATTATCAAATAAACTGATAATAAAAGTAATAAAACCATTTCTACCTTATATATTACTGGTATAACTTCATAATAAATTGCCTATTTGAAGAATAATTCCATATCAATGAAATCAACTTGTATCCATGCAAGCTCAGCTGAGAAAATGTAAACATCAAGTTATAATTGCATTCACAGCAATAGAATGTACTATTATTGTATATTATCATACTGTTATTAGCATTATTTTTTGACTGCCGGTGAAGTATAAGTAAATGGCCATTAGTACACCAGGCTGTTTGTAACTGTTCGGATACAGGGAAAGAAGAGGAAGAAGAAGAATCAGTATTCGCAAGAGATCACGTGATAAAACGTTAACAAAAAAATGGTTTCCCTTTTTAGGGGATGTGTGTAGGGAAAAAATGATATACAATCGGTTTTGTTATTTTGTTTATTTTGAATTTCTAAGGATACAATAAGTAACAATATTTCCAATAACATCATCTTTATATAATCAATAAGCTGAAGGTATAGGATAAATTGATGTAAACTGGCTATATTTTTTGACCAAGTCTTATCTAAAAGTCGACTTATACACGGAAATATACGGTATATAAATAATTAAACAACTGTCTATCTACTATTGGCCCACCCTTTTACATAAAAAGGATACATGGAAGATAAGCTGTCAAGTGGCCACAATGGTATTTGAAACATAAGGAATGCTCCATAGCGAAAATACGAAATTACTGGCGTCAGAAGATTAAAAAAAAACTGCAAAACGCAAGAAGAAGAAGAAGAAGAAGAGGACGAAGAAGAAGAAGAAGAAGAAGAAGAAGAAGAAGAAGAAGAAGAAGAAGAAGAAGAAGAAGAAAAAAAAACAACAACAAAAACAACAACAAGGTTATATTCGTTAAGTTCTCACATGAAAGTTCTCTCGGGAGATCAAGTGACAATTAGAATTCTCAATATTATATCCCACATCCCAATACTCCAGGCGTTCTCATTAAAACTACCGTCTTGAGGGTTTGTTACGATTCTTCCAAGAATTTCCAATTGACAGAGCTCTCTTGTGGTCATCGTTGGTAAACTAGTGACAGAAACTTTCATCAATATCGACTGGATGGTTTCGATTCTTAAATAGATTTTCTGTTTATATCAGATATTTCCATCATCGGTGTTGAACAAGGTAAGTCATCTACAATATTCTACCTCTCTCCTCAATAAGGCTTTTGCTGATTTTAGTGATGCTGTCATCAGGAGGGTTTCGATTCTTCTATGGATTTCCATTTCTCATCAGATCTTTCTGGCAGACATCCTTTGCTGAACGATCCACAAAAAGTTTCCTTAATACACCAGCACTCTTCTCACTCTTCCCTCTCTTCTCACTCTTCCCTCTCTTCTCACTCTTCTCACTCTTCCCTCTCTTCTCACTCTTCCCTCTCTTCTCTCTCTTCTCACTCTTCCCTCTCTTCTATCTTCCTCTCTTCTCTCTTCTTCTCCTCTTCCCTCTTCTTCTCCTCTCTTCTCTCTTTTCTCTCTTCTCACTCTTCCCTCTCTTCTCCCCACTCTTCTCCTCTTTTCCTCTCTTCTCCTCTTCCTCTCTTCTCCTCTTCTCATTTTCCCCTCTTCTCCTCCCTCTTCTCACTCTTCTCTCTTCCCTCTCTTCTCCTCTTCCCTCTCTTCTCCCTCTTCCTCTTCCCTCTCTTCTCCTCTTCCTCTCTTCTCTCTTCTCCTCTTCCCCTTCTTCCCTCTCTTCTGACTCTTCTCACTCTTCCCCTCTCTTCTCCTCTTCCCTCTCTTCTCTCTTCTCCCTCTTCCCTCTCTTCTCCTCTTCCCTCTCTTCTCCTCCCTCCTCTTCCCTCTCTTCTCCTCTTCCCCTCTCTTCTCCTCTTCTCCCTCTCTTCTCCCTTCTCCTCTTCCCTCTCTTCTCCTCTTCCCTCTCTTCTCACTCTTCCCTCTCTTCTCCTCTCCCTCTTCCCTCTCTTCTCCTCTTCTCACTTTTCCCTCTCTTCTCCCTCTTCCCTCTCTTCTCCTCTTCTCCTCTTCCCTCTCTTCTCTCTTCTCTCTCTTCTCCTCTTCTCCTCTCTTCTCCACCTTCCCTCTCTTCTCCTCTCTTCTCACTCTTCCTCTCTTCTCCTTCCCTCTTCTCCTCTTCTCCTCTTCCCCTCTCTTCTCCCACTTCCCCTCTCTTCCTCTCTTCTCACTCTTCCCTCTCTTCTCACTCTTCTCACTCTTCCCTCTCTTCTCACTCTTCCCTCTCTTCTCTCTCTTCTCACTCTTCCCTCTCTTCTCACTCTTCCCTCTCTTCTCACTCTTCTCACTCTTCCCTCTCTTCTCACTCTTCCCTCTCTTCTCTCTTCTCACTCTTCCCTCTCTTCTCACTCTTCTCACTCTTCCCTCTCTTCTCACTCTTCCCTCTCTTCTCACTCTTCTCCTCTTCTCCTCTTCTCCTCTTCCCTCTCTTCTCTCTTCTCTCTCTTCTCCTCTTCCCTCTCTTCTCTCTCTTCTCACTCTTCCCTCTCTTCTCCTCTTCCCTCTCTTCCCTCTCTTCTCCTCTTCCTCTCTTCTCACTCTTCCCTCTCTTCTCCTCTTCTCCTCTTCTCTCTCTTCTCCTCTTCCTCTCTTCTCCCTTTTCCTCTCTTCTCCCTCTTCTCACTCTTCCCTCTCTTCTCCTCTTCCCTCTTCTCACTTTCCCTCTCTTCTCCACTCTTCTCACTCTTCCCTCTCTTCTCCTCTTCCTCTCTTCTCCTCTTCTCACTTTTCCTTCTCTTCTCCTCTTCTCCTCTTCCCTCTCTTCTCCTCTTCCCTCTTCTCCTCTTCTCACTTTTCCCTCTCTTCTCTTTTCTCCTCTTCCCTCTCTTCTCACTTTTCCCTGTCTTCTCCTCTTCTCCCAAGAAATTCCCTCTCTTCTCCTCTTCCCTCTTCTCACTCTTCCCTCTCTTCTCCTCTTCTCCTCTTCCCTCTTTCTCCCACTCTTCTCACTCTTCCTCTCTTCTCCTCTTCCCTCTTCTCCTCTTCCCTCTTTTCTCCTCTTCCCTCTCTTCTCACTCTTCTCACTCTTCCCTCTCTTCTCACTCTTCTCACTCTTCCCTCTCTTCTCACTCTTCCCTCTCTTCTCACTTTTCCCTCTCTTCCCTCTCTTCCCCCTCTTCTCACTCTTCTCAGAATTTCTACTCATTTTTAAGATTTACAATTTCTCCAATTTTCTTCAAATGCATTTCTGTTTCAAGTGCACCATATTTTCTCCTGATTATTTCCTGAAAATTTTCATTTTTCTTTTCTTTGTGATTCCTTCTTACATTAGTCCGTTTTTCAGTTCCTATCTTGAATCCAATTCCTCCCTGAATCGTAAAGACAATGAAATTTTTCAATACCCTCGAGCCTTTTTTTCTTCCCTCTTTTATTTCCCTATATATGTTTTATGCATTTCTATCAATCTTTTCATACAATTTCCTAAACTTTTACTTGTCCAGTTTAAGAAGGGTCCCGAACATCTTACAACAGAAACTATTTATATTTATTCATTTGACTAAGTTGCTCCTGGTGAATTTAGTTTCTGATGTTTTATTTGTCCTTTTGAAGATCGTCTTGTCGGTTGGGGTTGACCCCCCCCCCCACGCAGTGTGTTGCACCCTTCCAAAAGGGTCACCCGTTTACGGTACCAATTTCTACCTTTTTAACTGTAACTGAGCTTATGCCTACTTTTGTGACTTTCGCGCCAACTGAACTAATGTCTACCTCATTGTCTACGTTATAAACCGGATCTATGTCCACCTTTTTATTCGAGTTCAAGCCTGAATTTTTTTAACTCTTGCAGAAGTGTATCTATGTCTATATTTGATGCTTATCAGTTAGTTATGTGCTATGCGTGATGCACGCTTAGGCGATCATGTATCATTCGATATATGACTGGCGAGGCAGATTTTTTCCCGCAGTAGGTCGCCATTTCTTTCTGCGGTAGACCAGTTGCCATCCAAGGCCATAGAACCTGGACTGTCCTGCGATTTACCCATCGCTAGGTGGAGAAGAAGAAGAAGATTCATACCTTTCCCAAGGGTATAGCACGTAGGTGAATTTCAGTCAGTTATGTGCCATGCGTGATACACGTTGAAGCGATCATGAATCTTTCGATGCATGACTGACGAGGCAGATTTTTTTTCCCGCAGTAGGCTGCCATTTCTTTCTGACCAGTTGCTATACAAGCCTATAGAACCCGGTCTGTCCTGCTATTTATCCATAACTTGGTGGAGAAGAATAGGATTCATATCTTTCCCAAGGGTATTATTAGTTCGTAAGTGAATGTAATAGATTCGATTGGAATTCGAACTCGGCTCTCCGATTCCTCAACCCGAGCCGCTATCCATTACTTCACCATGCCTACTCCTCTTGACTCTTATGCAAGCCGGAAGTATGTCTACCTTTTTGACACTCATGCTTACTGGACCAGAATTCGGAACGAAATAACCTGGAGTAGGTTGATATACTATAATATCATACCAAACCTTCTGAAGAATTCTTTGCGGTCTTTAATTTCACCGCATTCACCTTAATTGAATCAACTTCCATTAGTCCTAGGCAGTTGCAGTTTTCTCTCTTTCTTCATGATTTCCTGGTTGGATAATTCAATTCAACTTTATTTTCACTGATTAACCGTCTGGGAATGATCCTCCTATCGCAAGACTTTTTTGTGATTTGTGATCTTCATCAGCCCTCAGGTGTATTTGAATATTTCCGACGGCCGTCTTTGATGTCAGTCACTAAATGAAGTAAATCTCCGATTTCTGTTACCAGCAGAAGTTAATTACAAAGCTCTACCAAAAACCATCAGGATAAATTCTTTGAGTTCGTTTTCGGTAAGACAGGAAGCAGAAAAGAAAAAAAAACCTTGCCTGACTTGTATTATTGATCATACAATAATAATAATAATAATAATTGATAATACAATATCGTCCGTAAATTATACATTGTAATAATATTTAATATTTCAGTTTCTTTATTTCAGGTGACAAGATGAATTATTTTCTAACAAAGACAGTAACAAGAAATAAGAAGAAATAAATTTCAATATGAATTTGGTTTCGTTATTGTTTTTATATAAGATTTTTGTCTTATGTCTAGATTTGTTTCTTTTTTATTTTTTAATCATTTCACCCCATGCAAGGGAGTAAAGCCATTAAGACACAATGGGTTACTGGGGTGAACGAATAAGAGAGAAACATTATTAAGTCATAGGAACAATAAAAGGAGAGTAATAAAGAAGGCAGTAGATAACGATTGACATTGTATTTGAATTTTTGAAGATCAAAGTTGGCTGCGAAGCAAAAAGCCGGTAGAAAGTTTCACAAGCAAGAAAAGATATTGTTAGCATACGGTTACATCGAACTATTTCAGCAGCAAATTGGTGATACCCTCTTGTCAATCTAGTACTGCGCTTAAATTCATAAAGTCTGTTATGAATAATCAAGAGTGGTCTCCCCTTGTTTTGTTACTCTCCTCATTGAGAGAGCTATTTCTGTTTACTGGGACTATAAAAGGACACTATACGCGAACCTTGTATTCTCAACTGAATAAAGCTTTCTTAAAGCCTACACCTGTGTACTTTTATCATTACGAAGTCTACGTACTCAGGCGGAGCGTTCATCCGAACAAATTAGTATGAAAGTGTTTAAAGAAAATATCAGGGAAGCTATATTTCGGCAGTAGGAAGGTGGATAAAGCAAAGATGATAGGTCAAGACAAATAATATTGCTGATTCTTTCATTAATATTGCGATTTTATCGAGAATCTCTAAATATATAGCAAGAGTACAGGACCATATGTGGCAGCAATATTCTAAGCATGGGCGAATGCTAGACTTATAAATATGTAAGACTTTTTCATTTTCTTTGTTTTTCGTTTCTAATCTTCTTTAATTATTCATACGCTTTTTAAATCTTTTTTATTTACTCAATACGTTTTTCTTTTTTCTTTACGTTTTTCTTTTTCATTTTTCTTTCTTTTCTCATCAATGTTTTCTTTTTTGAGCTTATTTTTACTTTTTCCCTTTCTATTTATTGTTTATTGGTAATCTTCCATACATTTTGTACTTCTGTTTGTTCCACATTTTTCTTTCTTTTCCCGCCAAGGTTTTCTTTTCATTTTCTTTCCTATTACGTGTTTGTTCCTTTCTGGGTTTTTTTTCTTCTTCTTTTCCTATCTTTTTTTAATTTTTAATCTTTCTTTCCCCCCTCTATTTACTCTCTGCTTCTTTTCGTCCGATCAATTTTTTTTCCCTTTACGCTTTTCTTTGTGTTCCCCCTTAAGGTTTATCACTTCTTTTATTTTATTCCATAAATATTCTTTATTTGACATATTAAATATGAAAGAGCAAAACTCTTTTTTGCCTAAAGCGTCGAGATATAAAAGGTTCTATTCTCCCAAATTGCTTCTTCGGTAACGTTCGCATAATTCAGCCGAATTCCAGGAGAAATTCGCCAGTGGAACAAAAACGTTTAAGATATGTAAAAAAAAAAAAAAATACAAAATAAAGTACAAACAATTTAAAGGCTTTAAATATTTATTCATATATTTACGGAAATTCAAAATAAAGCATACAAGCAATTTAAAGGTTGACAATTTATTCATATATCTAAGAAAATATAAAAGAAAGTGCAACCAATTTAAAAGTGAAGAATATTTTATTTATTCGGATATTTAAAACAAATTCAAAGTAAAGCAATATAAAATTTAACGATACTTACTGTGAGTATAATTTATAATTAAATGGAACTATGTAATTTTCATTTGTTATAAAATGCCTTATATATATATATATATATATATATATATATATATATATATATATATGGTTTACGAAAAGTAGGTAATCTGTACAAAGATTGAAACGAAAAAAAACCTTTGGAAGTAAAGTCTAATGATCCGCAGTCCTTTGAAAGGGCTGTGGTGAAATAATTTATTACATAGAACCTTAAAGTGGCCTGTTTTTATTTTAAATATATATATATATATATATATATATATATATATATATATATATATATATATATACTAGCAGTAGAGCCCGGCATTGCCCGGGGATATAACAGTAAGAGATAGATCAAGTATCCACCATCATAAAGACTGAAAAATAAAATTGACAAAGATTATTGTTTAAGGTTGACGGACACGCATGTCTTAGTTTTTTGTTTTTTTTACCAATTGGTCAAACCCAAACTCAAACAAAAACATTGTTTTCAATCATTATGAGTCTCCCGATTGAATAGAATTTTATTATAAATAATTGTCTTGTAAATGGAATTTTTAAAGCATTCTGAATGTTAAAAATAAAGAAAAAAGTGTGCAAGCGAATAAGAAACACTACCTGCCAAAAAAAGTGAAGTTTTGTTTTATCGGCTGAAAAATATAGGAAATCCGCTCCCATATTTAAAGGAACCCACACACACAATCAACCTGATGTGAGTTGTCCCCCTTCCATTTTCACGATGTCTCTTAATCGTGTTTTCAAATTGATTTTGTGCAAAAACAATTATATTTTTCCCATTTTTGGTGCCGTTAGAACCACCACAAGGTAATTTTATGTAGTCCTGTGAAGTTTTGTTGAAATCGGTTGAAAAATGTAGGAAATCCGATCCAATATATAAACGTCACACACACACACACACACACACACACACACACACACACACACACACACAATCTGTGTTTTATAATAAGTAAGATCCCAGCTAAGAAAACAGCAATGGTAATTTTGAAGAAATAACTTTGAATTTGTCAAGTCACTCCATGGAACTCCAAAACCTCAAGTGAACTCTGATTCGGGCAATGATTCCAGTTCTGACCAAAGGAGGGATTTGAACCAAAACTTCGATTTGGGCCAAAATGCCAATTCAGACCGAAAATTGAGTTCTTCAAATTACAAAATCCTTGGAACTTCAATTTAATTGAGTTCTTCAAATCACAAACTCACTTCAAAACCTGACGTCACAAAATCTCTCAGTTTAAGAAATAAAATTGATTTCATCAATTCACATAGTGTTGGAGATATTTTAAACTGAATTTAAAGATAAAATTTTTAATTTCACAAAATTCAACATAAATTAAAAACTTTAAAAAACATTAATTTTTTTTAGTTGTTTTAAAATTTGAATTTTTAATTGTTCCCTTCTCATCCTGACACAAATCCCAATGATATCTGTTCAAGCACCAGATGAAGGACTGATTTTCAATCCCAGGATCATCCTGATTCTAAAAATGTATAATATTTCTATGTAGAGCAAGTATGACCCGATTTAGACGGGTTTCACACACGAACGGACAGACAGAATTTGCCGTTATATATATACTTGGTTGGATAAATATGTTAGCTCTATCTCTGATATTGAGCACTTTCTAATAAGTACCGCGCATATAATATATAAATAATTATACATATATATATTTATTTATATTTATATACACTTTTCACACATATATATATATATATATATATATATGTGTGTGTGTGTGTGTGTGTGTGTGTGTGTGTGTGTGTGTGTGAAAATATATAGAAAATAGGAAGGAACTGGTTAGGTAAATAATCCAAAGTCCCTAGTATTTTAGTTATTATTTTTTAAAATAGTGCTCGATACAAAAGTAGAGCATAAATATAATTATTTATTTAAAAATATGATTCCAAATCGCTACATAAGAGGTCTCATGTTTCAAAACAAGAGCCGAAAACTTCAATATAATCCTTTAAATTAAATTGAGTTGAAAGTAAAATGGACTCCGTTCCATCTTCAAGCGAAATTTTTGTTGGAATAACGTATATCTGAAATTTACTTGTTTTAAAATTGAAATCAAAATCCCCATGGTAACAGCTCGGGCGAATTGTCTAAAATGGGTAGGCGAGTGTAGGGTGTTTATAATAAGTAGCGGTATAGAGAAACTTTCAAGGTGTCAAGTCGGGGAAAGCTGGGGGTGTCAAAAATGAAACGGAAGATGTATTGGCCATCGTCTAGTTTGCTTGTCTATGGAGATTTATTTATTTATTTTATTTTATTTTATTATGAAAGGGAATTGTGCATATAAAAAAAAAAAAAACTTTCGTAACGTTTGTTTTTTGACGACTTCATAAAGGGTTATCTTATATGTAAGGTATTTAAACTACTAATTTAGGCTATGGATTATGAAGTGTGTTATGTTGTATGCATGTTTGTAGTTAATTATTCCTACTATGAATCTGATGATTGGGCTATTTGTTAAACAAGTTATATAAAAATTTTTATCTAATAATTCAAACCAAAAATCTGATGATGCCTACAAAAAACCGTTAAATCGTGTCTATTATTTAATAGATTATTATTATTTAGAAGTTTAATAATGTGCAATTTTTCATGGAGGCACAAAGGGCATGGGTCATCCCAAGCTTTACATATTCTAGCCTTGTCAATAATTTACGGAGCCCATTTTACTTTCAACTCAATTTAATTTAAAGGATTATATTGAAGTTTTCGGCTCTTGTTTTGAAACATGAGACCTCTTATCTAGCGATTTGGAATCATATTTTTAAATAAATAATTATATATATATATATATAGAGAGAGAGAGAGAGAGAGATAGATAGATAGATAGATAGATAGATAGATATACACGTTTTTGTGGTGGTGGGGGTTTCATTCTAATACATTATAAAAAACATTGGGAAGTGAAAGCTGTAGTATGAGAAATGCTGAATTCCACACTGGACAAAGAACTTTTATTTATTTATTTTTTTTTTACAAATGACAGCAGATTTTTAAAAAATCATTAAATCTTAGTTTCTACAAAATCAATTATAATTTTGCAACCGTAGCTATCGATAATCCATACGTTTTTTCTTTTTGTTTTGTTAAATGAAGGTTTTATTTTGTTAAATGAATCTTTTGAACATGTTCTTTCTTTTGTTAAATATTTTGATGTATTTTGCTAAATGAATTTTTGTTTTAAACCTTTTCTATGTTTCCTTAAATGAATGTTTTCGGAGATTTGATCCGGGTAAATCGTTTCTTTTTGTTTTGTTAAATTAATCTTTAGCTTCTTAAATCTTTTTTTTTTTTTACTTTCTCTTAGTTAATCAATAGCTTTGTCTTCAATCTTTTTCTTTCACTTGTTAATTTAATTATTTACTTTTTCAGTTTTTCCATTTGTCTTATTGAAGAAAAGCTTTATCTTTGCTGTTTGTTTTATTTAAGTAAATTATTTTCGATTTTTCAGTCCTTTCTAGTTGTCTTGTGAAATCAATGATTTTGCCTTGAATCTTTTCTATTTGCCTTTTTAAATTAATTAATTTTCTATTTATCTTGGTAAATAATTTTTTTTTCACTTTTTCTTTTTAATTTCTACTTATCCTGCGATCATAAAAAATAATAATAAAAAAATTTTAATTACCATGATTCCATAGAACAAGGAAAGCGTCCTACTGATGGGAAATTTGAGAGACTTTTTCCTTTTCATCCGATTCCTCATAAGGAAAGCACGTGAAATCAAGCTGCTCTATAAATGGAGAATACAGATAAGTCGTACAGAAATCTCACCTTCTTTCATGTTTAATTTTACCTTTTAATGATTGACGTATCACTAGCAAATAATTTATTCAGTCACCAAGACAAACACAAATAGAAACGACTACAAGGACTTTACATCTACCGAACTAGTACAACAATCCTTTTGAAAATAAATCCTTACACACACACACACACACACACACACACACACACATATATATATATATATATATTATGATATTACAACAAAAACATGTAAGAATCGCTACACAATTGCAATCGTATTTCAACGCATAACAATGCGTCTCCTCAGCTGATTGTAAATTGCTGCGAGTGAATAACTGGCCAGTAATTTACAATTGCCCGAGGAGACGCATTGTTATGCGTTGACACACAACTGCAATTGTGTAGCGATTTACATGTTTTGCTTGTATTATCCTAAAATAAATAATATTGCTCTACTTTGTGAGGCCTCATTTAAATTAAATGTTACGAACGTTCTCATCTTACCTGGGTGGGTGTATATATATATATATATATATATATATATATATATATATATATATATATATATAGAGAGAGAGAGAGAGAGAGAAATGGGAAATAAGATAAAACATACTTTATACTTGCACGTATATATATATAGTTTTTTCAGGTGTGATAAAAACAGTGCTCGGTGTTATATAACAGAGCTATTAAGTATATATTAGTGAATATAAATAATATCTCACGTCGATAGCATGACTCGGATACGCAGTCTTCAGGTGCAGAATACTCACTGACCGTTAAGCATTATAAAATTCCCGTTCTATATATATATAAATAACTAAAATACTAAGGGACTTTGGATTATTTACCTAACCAGTTCCTTCCTATTTTCTATATATTTTCACATATTATATATATATATATA